ATCCTGAGCCCAAAACTGATTTAGAGCTTCTGCTAGACATTTTCTAACAGTATCAGGACCCCCCTTAGTCTTGTGCATGTTAGGAAAGTGCTGATGCAGCTTTTCCTTGACCCTCTTCCAACAGTGCTCAATAGGATTGAGGTCTGGGGAATTGGGAGGCCATTCCATAACCTGTATGTTATTTTCTGCAAACCAAGCCATGGTATCTCTTGCAGTATGTATCTTTGCACCATCCTGCTGAAATATAGGATCTCCAACTGTGTCCTCTACCTCCTGCCAGACATCAACCAAGCCATCCTTCAAAACTCCAATATATACAAATCTATCCACACGCTTGTTAAAAATAGGAATCAGGGGACCCTTGTTTTTACCCCAGATGCAAGCCCAAACCATCAGCTTTACTCCTGGCCCCTTTGTGACCCCTTGAATACAATCCTTATACTACTTTTCCTCAGGTGTTCTGAATACCCCAATACCCTTAGGATCTTTGGACTTTTCAACCATGCATTCATCACTAAAGATGACACCTTCAAAGTCCTCCTTTGTCTAATCCTTATACTCCTTCACCCAAGCTAATCTCTTGATAGCATGTTCATCCTTTAACAATGCTCCTTTCCTAGCCCTCCACTTCTTTATGTTGACAGAGGCTAAAGCTCTTTTCATTGTCTTCACAGAGGCTTGAGGGGCAATCTCATTGCGCAATTCTGATAAAGGCTGGTGGTGTGCCTTCTTAGACTGTCTGACTAGGGGGTGGCAGGTTCTGCTATTGATAATTTTGAGTCTACCAGGCATAGGAAGGTTTTTCTCATCACCCCTCTTTTGATACCGGGTGTAGAAACTGAGGACTGTACTTTTGGGACGATTTAAGAAATTCCTAATCTCAGAAAAAGAGAGACTTTATGTCCTCAGGGCAACAATTTAACCTTTCTCAAACTCTGTAAGGTGGCCAGTCTTTGTCTGAGGCATAGTTGTTGAGGAGTGGTTGATTGTTGGAGTGGAGTTTTTTGTGGGATTGCTTGGTAACCACCAATTGGATGAAAAGATCTCTCCTAGTACTTTAGTTATAGAAGCACTGGGCTCATAACCTGTTCAAATATGTATGGGATGGCACTATCTTAATAACTGTGTACGAAAATATGATGTGATAGAAAGAGTATATCGCAGGCACACTAAGCAAAGAGGAGTTTTGTATGAAGGTAGATTGGGGAGAGTTCTTGTCCTTAATTCCCCCAAGCGAGATGGGTGGTAACCCCTATTTATACAGATATACATCCTTTGCATAACTAAGAAGAAGCGTAAGGGAAAACATAAGTGTCAACATGTTTGACTGTAACACAAGTAGGAGAAACATAAGTGTGAATATGTTTGACCCTACAGAACTGCCAAGGAAATCCTATAAAACATGCTTAAATCTGAGGTGGTGTGAACGGAGAATTAGAATGTAATTGTAAATCAAATGACTAATGACCGTGCATGATGATGCATAAAATGTAGGAAATAAACCTACACACCAGATAAGAAAAGCATACCATAATCCCCTACTTGTATCATGAAATATCAAATGAAATTTATGTCATACATACTCCGTTGTAGTAATGTCCATGTCTAGAAATAATACTAAGTAGAGGAATACACAATATTATCAAGGAGAATATATATATGAAACGAATTAGAAACTTCAACATATATTGCATATTACTGCCATCCAAGTTCCTGGAACTTGGTTTACTCTCCATTACTACCTACTGTATCTTTACTAGTAGTATGAATCTAAAGCTGTGACTCGAGTCCCTGGGTATATATATATGTCATAGAAGTGTTGCGTCCTGAAATCTACTAACTCCTCTAGAGTTTTGGTATGATGTACCATTGCCTCCCATGTTTTGTTGTGTTGTCCCATTGCGTCCTAAGCTCTGACGTGAAGTGCCGTTGTGCCCCGAGTCGCGATTTGCATTCAGTGCATGAGACAGAAGCAACTATTTTTGCTGCTGACGCAATGCCCTATCCGACCGGGAAACACCCACGTTCCTCTATAATCCTCCTTTCCACCACCGTATCCGACTAAAGCAGTTCCTCTTTCATCCTTCTTTCCACCATTATATTCAACTAAAGCAGTGTGCCCGTTCCCCCCAACTTGGGGTTCAGCTCTGCCCTCTTGCCCATTCATCTTTCACTTCTAAGTCTCATACAAAAACTAACCAACCATCCTCATTTTTCTAGCCGCCGGTTTTGGCTCATCACGATTTTACAAATTCCTCCTTCATTCCTATTGACAAACTTCAATTCTTCTGCTGCATATATTTTCTCCTACCTCTGTATGCACTTTCACGGTGGTAGCTAGCTATGGCTCCTCATCCGTAGGGGAATTATTCTACCCCTAGATACTCGAGTAATCCGTCCAAAATCCCTAATAAACAAATCTACCACCTTCCCTGCTCATCAGAACCTGCCTCTTGGTCACCGACACCTTTCAAGGAGCTCTTCTCATGCTCTGTTGGCTTCACAACCTTTGAACCGTCACCCATGACGCGGGAAGGACGGGGTCTAGAGCCGCGGGAATCGTATGTCAAACCAAAATCGATGACTACTAGTGTGCTCGTCGTCTTCTGTGGACTTATGGTTCTCTGGGTCTTCGTTCGTAAGGGTGGGTTCATGTGGAAGGACTCTGACTGGGAAGATTACAAATCCTCTTTGCTCTGTCGACTAGCTTCTCGCCCAGATGACGCTATCACAGTTTTCTCGTATGGCTCCACTCGCCGTGGAGGTGGAAGCACAATAGGGGCTCGCACAGTCGACCTCGGAGACCTTGACATAACATACACCAAATCCGAAGTCATCCATCGACCCCGTGCCATGGAAGTCAGCGAAAAGAAGAGTGCTAGACCTCTCGTTATGGGACGGTGGGCACAGGCTCAGCATTCATTTGGGAGGTTATATGACGGAGATGGAGATGTAGTAGTAATCCACCGCTCCCCCCGTGTCAAGCAGCAAATGAGGGAAGCGGACGTCCGATCTGTTACCGGTATGGGAACCTTTATCGCTAACCAGGAACCCGCTCACCCCGCAGGCTGGAAACCGAAGGACTCGGACTTGGGCAGTTATCTGGATATGACTCGTGAATAGACCGTTATCAGACACCCGCCATCCGAATTGAAAAGGGTTGGAACTGGGGCATCAAGGAATTCCCCCGCGACCATGTATCAAGACAACTATAGCGATTAATCGGATACCTCGTCGTCTTCGGACTCGGACTCTGACTTGGAGGACGAGAGTGTTACTCAGAGTGCGCTGGGAATGGCTAAGGGAACGAAGGTCTATACACACCTCTACATGATCGGACGACAGCCACTGGAAAGGGCTGGCAGTAGCCCTGGAGGTACATACCGCGTTCTGCCCCCCGCCCAACAAATTTCAAATGCCATGGTTCCAGTTGAAACTAGCTTGGTGCATGTGAAAAACGGGGATGGTGCATGTTCCGCGAGGGGGGGCTCCAAGAGGCTCCAGGAAGAAGGGGTATAGGAAGGGGAGTGCCTGTCGTCGGAGCTCTGATGGGAGTATGGGGAGCTCTAATGCTTAGGCTATGAGATTATGGTTATGTCTTGCCTGGTGGGACTGCCATGTGGGAGAGGCATATGGTACCTTTTTTGTCTTTATTCTCTTTTTCTTTTCCTCCTTGGGATGGAGGGTTGGCATATTTGGATAGCCTGTTTATCGTGGGAAGCATGGGATAGGAAAGGTGTTTTTTTGTTTTTTTTTATATTTTTTTATATTTTAATATAACCCTGTGCTCCTTGTTGCTGTGCGGTTTATTGTGTATTTGGGGATAGGACGCAGAGGACCTGGGTTAGTCTAGGGGTTAGCAATGGATGGACATTCATGTACTGCAGATAATGCAGCCCGCGCCAGGTGCTGGTGGTTGGAAATGAAATGATGGTCTGACTAGTGTAGCGGGGGCGGGGCCCTCTGTTACCCGCCGATGCACCCAGACCATACCAGGCACTGGTAGATACAGTAAGATGCCGTATCCATCTGTCGTATCATGGCAACAAGGGCGATGATTCTGAGGGACATAAAATGGGATTGGACAAAGGCGAATAGAGGTTACATGCAACAACACCTTGTTAGGTTTTTCCAAATATCCTTGCTCGTAGAGTGAATATGTGCTTTGAGAGGAATCTGGGAAATTTGCATACCGTACCCGAGCGCAAGCATCATGTTATACCGGCACTATTCAAGAAGCTTGTCTCTGTCTAATGTGGCGAGTGCGGAACCCTATTCCACAATCACAAGCGGGATGGAGGAGAAAGGTTACTTGTATCATGTTTTCATACCTCACGAGATGCTCCGAGTGTTAGGATACTTAGGGTGGGATTGTGAGGGGTTCAAGCTAAAATGGGTCTTGCAGAGACGATGACAGGCGCTATTACTACTACATATAGAAGCCTAAGTAGTGCGATACCGGTACTTCACACTCACGTCCTGTGATTCAGCTCCCTTGATGAGGTGCGTAACATGTTGCAGGAATCATGAGGGAATTAATTTAGGGCATCACAATCACAGGCACAGAGATCATCTGGAGTGGATCACGCACCCTTACGACTTGGACCACAGCTCAACTCAAGGTGAGGGTGGGGAGAGTGGGAGGAGGGAGGGATTTGTTATCTTTCACGTGTTCCCCACTCACCCCTTTCCTCCTCTTTGTCTTCACAGTCCCATCTATGAGTATCGTATGGTATGATATCCCATTTCTACCAGCACTGTACGGTATCGTACTTGAGTAGGATTCGTCTTGGCAGCGCCTCTCTCTCTCTCTTTCCACTCCTTCCATCCCTCTGTCCTTCCTCGCCAAACCAATTCTTCCCCCTTTTCCAATATTTCAAGGTTCAACAATGCCCCCAAACTAAGTTCGCTTCTCTCCCACCGTTTCCCGATCCCACACCCCCCACCCCCCTCACCTTCACCAACTTCCTCCAACCCGTCAATCCTCTATGACACCGACGATGACCAGGATTTCGACGACGATGATTCCCTGCACTGAAACCTCCTTGCGACAACGGTGCGGCCGCCGGTGCACCGGTGCAGATAACCGGGTAAGCAGAATGTATACATGAGGTTTGGAATGGGAGTCTTGCTGGCTGCGGCTTCACAGTGGTTGGGGGTTTTGTTCGGAGTTATCTTTTGGGAAAATGAGGAGGGGATTGGTGTGTTTTCCTTCAGTCCTAGGGGGTGAGGAAAATTTGGGATGGGGGATGAAGGTCGCAAGCGCAGGGAAGGGGGATTAATAGGGTCTGAGACCAGAGAAGACGGGCTGACAGAACGTGGGCTGACAGAACGTGGGCTGGGGTCCGGGGTGTAGTCAACGACGGGATTCCGATAGACGCCCCGAGGGGGGCGGTTAGTAGTAATGTGGGACCCCCTCCGGCGATCATTCGTCCGAACATTTAGTTGGCGCGGGAATGTGTGCTAATCTCTGTGATACGCTAGGTTCCCGCCCGCTCGAGAATTGGCGTGGAGCTTTGGAAGAAGGACGGGAATCCGGTCGATGCAGCTATTGGTAACCTCTATGTTTGCTCTAGTTAGGTTGCGGTGCTGATGGACATGCAAGGGACTGAGGTATGCGTTGGGGTTGTGAATGGCTTTGCCAGCGGTATTGGCGGCTGGGGGTCCATGGTTGTGCGTGAGGGTAATGGGCGATCTCAAGATTACAATTTTAGAGAAATGGCACCGGGAAGCGCTTTTCGGGATATGTAGAATGGTTTGTCCTCTTCCTTCTACAGTGCCTCTCCGCATTTTATCGTAGTGTCTCGGTTAAGGCACGGGCTGAGTTTGTACGCTATTGCACAGCTGATCTGCTAGAGGCACAGGTTGGCGGTCTCGCCATTGTGATCACTGGAGAATTCCCCGGATACACTACGGCATACGCCCAGTCTGGCCGGATTCGCTGCCAGGATATTTGGCAACCATCGGTAGACTTGGTGAGAAGAAGTTTCCACATCCAACTGACGCTGGCGGCAATGATCGTCAAGGAGGCACGATGCTAACAACACAGGGACGAATGGGAATTTTTGTTTAACCAGGACACCAGTGAGCTCTCACCGGTTGGGGGACTCAGGAAGAGCCTGAGGGAGGAGTGTACAGGCACGCTTGAGGTTGTTGCTGGCAAGGGGGAGCATATTCACGATAGGGTTTATTCCGGGGTGCAGCAATTCCATAACGGGAGTATTGCGAAGCAAATCATTGAGGCAGTGAACAAGCATGGGGGTATATTGACAACTGAAGACTTTTTGAGGTATTTGATGACAGTCGAGGATATGCTCAAGACGAGCTTTGACGGACGGGAGGTCATTACCTGCCCATCTCCCTGCCGGTATGTCCAACAGGTTTAGCGTTTCTAGTTTGTGGGTTCTATCCAAGTTGGACTTCTTTGTAGACTAACTCTCCCTAATTCAAACATCATTCTAAACAAACTTAAGCAATATCATTTCATACCAAGTTACACACTAGGTATCTAGGACTGGGAAGCTTCATGAATTTCAACTCTAAGAACATTGAAGTCATGCCAGTTTAGAATATGCAAGTTGTGGAGGAGAGAATCAAAATTCATGTGTGGAACAATTACTATATTTCATTTTTCACCTTCCCTCCAGATCAGCTAAACAACAAACCAAGTCTGGACCCACTTATGCCCAATAGTAATCTCCAGCCTGGCGGACAATCAAATACAAGGGAGTTGCAAAAGCAATATTACCAACCATGACTTTTCCAATTAGCAACCCTGAGGCTTTGAATTCCCCCTCTTCATCAGTAAACACACAACCTCCAGAGTCACCTCTGTTTGCAAAGTTTTCACCTATTGGCCCAATAATAGCTATTTCATGGATGGCTGCTCCATTATCCCAATGTTGCAGCATAGTACAATTGACCTCCCCACGTGTTATCCCGGTAGAGCGGCCAATCTTTTCTACTTTTGCACCTGGATACAGGTGCCCAATCTCCATAATACGTTCACCTTGGTAGATGTTTTCACCATATCTGATAGATGTTATACAAATTAGTCATTATTACATAAGAGGAAGGTAAAGTACAGGTAAGTAGTGAGAGCTTACCGATCTTGATTGCAGGTGAAGATAGACCAATCCATCCTGGTCAGCCAGGAAACACAGGCACAAAAAGAAGGAAAACCACTTTCTCTGAGAATGTGATCATAGTTGTATAAAAGATCACTATGGCTTCCGAAGTGCGAGTCAACAATAATGCCGAAGTTTGCACCACTGAGAACTGCTGTCTGAGGTTGGAAATTATTGTTAGGGTTCAGAAATGCGACACCACTGGGAGAATTGTGGATTTGAAAATTTTGCAACAGTTCACGGACTTCAGCCTCCTTGGTAAGATTGACGGGCAGGCATTTACTAGGTGGACAAAGCGTTGTGTATCTTATCAATTGCTGCAGCCTAGCGGTAAGCTCCAGAGTAGAGGGAGTACAGACAGGCATGCCATTTTGTCCACCAGGAACACAATGTGCTGCTGTTAATCCAAAGAGGCTGGCAGGAGCCGATATTTGTTTTAGAAAGCCTCCAAAGCTTCCTGCACCATGAATACTTCCTACTCTCTTATTAGCTACTAATTTACTCAAATAAACAAATTTACGGAAAGAATTTGTATACTCTCGATCCCAACTGAACACTCTTCTAATCTCAATTTTTCCACCTTGATAGTGGGACCCAATGCCCATGGGGTCTCTAAATTGTTTACCATCAAAATACCATCATTGCAGATCCAGATTGGAATGTCATATGGTGCTGTGGGTAAAACAGTTTGCTGCATGCCGCCTCCTGGTATTCCAAATAAGAAAGTTGGAATAATGGGTCCTCCATGCTGATGAACACCAACAAGGATGCCATAGGCATCCTGCATGTCCAATAACTGTAGGACCAGGGTGATATACACAGAGACCTCCATCAGGTCAAACTCAAGTGCCGGAGGGAGAGGTGTAATTCTTGGCCCACTAATCCCGCGATCCATGGTTGCGTTTCTTGGTAGCAGTTGACAGAAAACTTGCTAAGTCCCGTCCGTACAGCGTGCGTGGTTCCTGTCTTGCACAGTATTAATTAGCATATTCTGTGATACAATTTGCAGGAGATTACAGGAAGTGAGTATCCTTGGAACCCGACACATACTATAAGGTCTGGAGGGCCTGTGACACAATACCTGGGTCCCTGAATGATACCGGTGAGGGGGGAGGATTATTGTCTGATTGAGAACCAAGAAGTGAGAGATCAAGCAGGGGGAAGAGAGATAATTGCCTGAAATATACCTACAATGAGAGTCAAAAAATGGGAGAAAGGTTTGTGTGGGAGAATACCAAAGAGAGCATAGGATTTCCAATAAATTTTGGAACCAAGGTTGTTGTAACACTATGTATGAAAGCGATCACATTCAGGCCGCTACGGGATCTGTGGCTCTTGGCGTTTGGGACTGTTTTATCCATAATGGGCCGGCAACTAGGTTGCTATAATTTTCAGACCCTAAAACCTATAGACGGTGTGAGGACTCCGTGAGGCGACACCCTCAGCAAGGCTTCGCAATATTTGGCAGCAAAGATTGCCTACGGTCAACGACAGTAAGGAACCAAGCCGGCGTGCCGGGCCTCACTGAGGGTGTCCCCTGGCTGAGCCCTCACACGGTCTAAGTCCTTCACACCGGTAAACAATTCTTCTCTATTGCTTGGTGGAACGAGTGCGGCGGATAAATATATTCGTCACATGCCATATCTATGGACACTTTACAGCGGCAAGCTGCTGCGAAGGTTTCTTATCAGACTCACATGACAAATATATCTATCAGCCGTGCTCATACGTACTTGTACTCGTATATATGATGTAACACATGAGTCGAGCCGCAAGGCCCGCAATGGGAACCAAGCATGAAAATTGTTGACGCGAGTGGTAACCTGATGCAATTATTAGAGAGATTTTGCTCAGTACTGAAGTCATGCACATTGTTATTGTGGTCTTCTTGCCGGGAGAATGATCATTCTAGGAACTTTCAGGTACTTCTCCAGAATTAAAAAGTCTGGGAACTGGGCCCTGTTAGGATAGAAACTAAGCCAACCTCAACTATTATCAGTTGCTATGGGAGGAGGGATATATCACTAGATAAATATAGGACGGTAGAGAATTAGTGTGATGAAACTAACCATGATCGATTGTTTCCTTTTTGGTAAGGCCACATTATCTCTGCACGAACTTAATTGCGCTTTTAGCTTGCATGATAAAAAGATTTCTTCATTAACTTTGACAGCTTTGCTTGCTTGACAATAATAGTGTGGTATCTAAGTAAGAAGAGCCAGGATTGGGCAGAGTGTGTGTAGATATAGCGATTGTGCTCACAAATGCTACCTACCAGACTACCAATAAGTGACTGTGTCGAGTGCAAACTGGGGGCTGTACCCTCGCTGCTAGACCTGTTCAGATCACACAATCCTTACCTACAATACAACTCTGTCATCTAAATGGGCACTCCATCATACTACTTTACTACAACAAAGTAAAGAGCAAACAAAATAAGAGACTCGTCTAGCACTCCGACATGGATGTGGGGGCCGGAGAGTGAAGGGCTGGAGGCGTGAATTGACTCTCATGGTAGGGGGGTGGATCAGTTGGCATCCCTTTTGATCAAACAAGCAGCAAGCGTTGCTACCTCTAACCCCCGGCTGCTCAGCCACCTGCATTCGTAACCTAGTAAGTACTTTAGAAAGGCGGCTAACCCGGGACCATGCTGGAGACTTTTGGGAGGTATTAGGGAGTTTACGCAGTGAGACCTAGGTGGTGTTAAAATAAGTTAACAATAAGGCTTGGCCACCTGGTTCTTTGATCCCACCTGGTCAAGGTCCGAAAATCGGACCTCCAATTGAGGACCACAAATGCCTACTTGAACTGCACTTTTATACCTCTGTTCAGGTATGATTTTGTAGCTACTCTTCTCCAGGACAATCCTGAGAAGAGAAACTTCAGGAAAGTTAAGAATTGGCTGAGGGCTTGACCTCTTAAATACATGGAATTTATGAAATTCAACAATTGTCCGGAGTTTGATGGGCTGTTGATGCGAGTGGCAACCCCTAGTGACATCGTTAATAACTTCCACCTCGGTCTACCTGCGCAAACCCTCTATTAGCGCAACACAACAGTTAGGGCTTCATCCCTTTGTCAAGCAGAAACGTGCCCCAGGGCTAGAATCACCCTGCTTTTCCGGCTGGCGGGAACCAAATCCTTTTCATATTTATACTATCATAACTGAATACCGTATTCCACCCTGGGGGGGCTCCCAGAACAGCGGGCAATAGACAATGTGGCTGAACTGATTGCTTGAACCATAGTTGATATGTGAATAAAGGCTAGCATTTAGAATCAGACCGTCATTTAGTCCTATTCAGCTTGCTAGATTATGATTATCAGCTTCTGCACCCATACATGGCAAATTCCACCACCGTCCAACTCCCCCTGCACTTTCATTCACCATTTTTCACTACCCTGACCAGCTGATAGAGGTACTGTACATACAAATAATAGTCACTCCCGACTGGACCCAGCAGATCACTACCACATTCCCTGAAACCTGCTTGGCATTCAGTCCTCGTTTACAAGTAACTACAGACAGTATTATTCTTCCACCAAGACTTCCCTTAAAATCTTGTAATCTTCACTTTAGTGCTAGACTGACTGCACTAAATCCAGGTCCTGAGCGGTTTCCCCGTAAATGACATTATATGCTAAGCCCCAAATTTGCAAGCGAGACAGTGAGTGTTGCATCACTAGAGCGTTGCCATGCCGAAAGATATCCTTCTTCTTCCAGCTCTATCAAACAACCATAACCAGTGTCACAATTAATTGTTATCCTTAAGGTGATTGCAGCGGCACCAGACCGCCCCTAATCGACCAAGAATAACTAGTCGTCCCGGACTTCTCCCACTGCTGCATCCTCATCTCCATTTTGGACGAGCGCGCTCTCCACACCATCATCCCTGCCATTGGGAGATCCACTATCAACTTCATTCAACCACCTTGCGAACCCTTCTGGGTCGCGGGAAACCAAATTTTGGCGGGATTCCCCTAGGGCTCTTTGTTTCTGAATGAGTACGATACTGGTTTATTTGTTCCTTCTCAGGCTCCACAAGGACTAGGTAGGTAGATTTCGCAGGGCCAGCAGTCAAGCCACATATTCCGACCATTCGGGTGTTGAGGGGGAAATATAATTGCAAGTATGCTGATGGATGTCACGGAAGTAGTACTCCGGGAGTTCCTTTCCCCCATGTTGTGGTTGCATGTACTCTACCACGTGATTTAAGCTGCGCAAGTCTAAAGGTGAGTAAGGGGGTTGCGCGGGGGGA